AAAAGGAACATGCAAATTAACATAAACAGTGAAAGGAAGTATAAACAACAAAATTGGCTGAAGTTACAATTACTCAAACAGTAACTATCATGTAAAACCCATACATATACCTAAAATTAAGTAATAATCAAACCCTAAATGCAAATTTATACTAAAGTAACTTAGATGGCAAAAGAATTATAAAAACCTAACTTACCAAATGCTGAGCACAGAAGACCTAAATTGTCATGTGACGAAATTAGGTCAATCCACACAAACTCACATAAAGTTGCTAAACATGGGTATACCAACTGTAAGTGAGGAATACATGCTGAAAAACTTACCACAGATTTCCTGGGAAAAAGAACAATGCTTAACCCAGGAAATTACAAAGAGGTTCAGTTAGAGGTGGAACGTGCCATAGAAAGTAGTTATAAGAAATCATAATGTGAAAGTAAGAAATCATCAGCCAAACATAAAACATTAACTCCCCACAAACTAAAGCCAGTACTTCCCCAGCAGACATCTTCGACCCTGAGACTAGTGTCAGAACTATTGTCGACTGTTGCGGGAATGTCATCATCCACTATATTAAATCTCGAATTCATAGGAACAAATTAGAATTCGGAAAACAGAAATACTGCTAAAACAAATGAGTATAAACAATGTTTATCAAATACAAGAAGTCGAAACTGATATACAGTGCCTTGCAAAAGTCTTCACCCCACTGTGCTGGTAATAACTTTTAAGTATTTTCTTGTAAAATTCATAACTCAAATGGCCAAAAATATTTATTATATTAATCTCAGACCAGTTTCTAAAGATTACAAAGACAAAAAGGTGCATTGTTACCCAATTTAGTGATATAACACAAAAAAATCTTGAAAACACCCTTCCCACCCACCCCCTCAGCTTTTACCATCGTTGATTTAACTTTACGTTACTACCCTACTAAAGTAAATACAAGTGGCTCTGTACAACTTTATTTTATACCAAGTATATTATAGAGCCATGTGAAAAATACTTTAGATCATATAGAACCATCAGTATTGATTTAAGTACAGTATTTTGAAAGTTAAAATTAGGTTTACTGTTACATACTGAGAATGATGAGAAAAGGGAAATAATTGTTCAGAAGCACAATTCTGGAGAATGCTATAAATCAGTTTCAAAGGTTCTCAATTTGCCATTAAGTACTGTAAAATCAGTTGTGAAGAAATGTAAAGTGTGTCACACTACCTTAACCTTGCCAAGATCAGGTTGCCCTAAGAAAGGCTGCGCTCAAACAAGCAAAAAAATCATCAGAGAACCGACTGTCAAGACAACATTGACAGTGAAGGAGCTGCAGACTTCAACAGCAGCAACTGGAGTTACTGTACACATCTCGACTATATCAAGTACCCTACACAAAAAAGGCTTGTATGGTAGGGTAGCAAGAAAGAAACCACTACTGATGAAGATGCATCTAAGATTGTGAATGGACTATGAACGTAAACATTTTAATAACCCTACAATACTGTTGCAGAAAGTTCTTTTGGGGTTAAATGACAAACGGTAGGTATGGTGGAAACTCAACACTGCTCATGATCTGGCAAATACAGTCCCAACTGTCAAGCATGGTGATGGGTCCATAATGCTGTGGGGATGTTTTTTCTGCAGCTGGCACTGTAGAACTTGTATGCATTCAAGGGATCATGGACAGTGCAAAATATACACAGACGTTGAAGTTAAATCTGAAAAAGTCAGCTGAAAAACTAAAACTCTGCCAAAGGTTTACATTTCAACAGGACAACGATCCCAAACACATATCAAAGGCAACCCAAGAATCGTTTTGAAGAAACAAAATTATAGTTCTTGACTGGCCAAGCCAAGCCCCAGATCTAAATCTACTCAACCATCTTTGAAGAGACTTGAAAACTGCTGTGTATCAAAGACATCCTTCCAATTTACAAGAACTGGAGGATATCTGCAAGCAGGAGTTGGCAAAAATATTAGATCTTCAAGAAATTAATGTTGCTTATTTTTAGATGAAAAAAACCTGAACAACTTGTATATCAAAACAAAACATTTATTAAATGAAAGTCTCCATTCTTATTGATGATGCTTTTCCATCTTACAATCAAGTTATTAATGCCCTGATTAAAGAAATCACCTAGCTTTGAAGCCAAAAACATGTCAATGTTTCTTTAACACCTTCCACATTTGCATACATTTTCCCATTAAAATGGTGTTGCAGCAAATGTAACAGATGGTAATCTGATGTTGCCATATCTGGAGAATATGGTGGGCGGGGGAGAACTTCCATACCCAACCCCATAATCTTGTATTGCAAAGGTGCCACATGTGGACGTGCAATGTTGTGGAGAAGATCACCTTTCCAATTGACCAGTGAATGGCATTTCTGATGATGGGCTTCACTTAAATGTTCTAGTTGCTGAACTATAGATCTCTGCATTGACAGATGGCTGTGGATTGAGAAGGTCGAAATGAATTACTCCTTCATGTCCCACCAAATGCAAAGCATCACTTTCTGCAGATGGAGTCGAAGTTTTGGGATTGGAAGTGGTTTTTGTCTAGGACAGAGCCATTGTTTTTGGCATTTGATATTTGCATAGAGAATCCATTTTTCATCACCGGTGACAATTCTGTCCAAAAATGGTTCATACACATTACGCATCAGAAGAGAAGAAGCTATGTTCACACGTTAGAAACGATGATCATCGGAGAGTTTGTGAAGCACCTAAACACCTTCTTTATGGAGTTTTCCCATACTCCTTAGATATTTACATATTGTTTCATGAGAGACATGCAATTTCAGAGCCATTTAATGAGTGTGTGTTAGACTCAGTAAGTGTCTTCAGAGCATCAATATCAATTCCAACGTGTTG